TTGACCTACTTATCAAAACTATTGTTTCTGGTGTACACGGGCGAAAAACAAAGAAATAAACGCTTGTTACTTAGGACTTGGCTCTTCCCTGGGCAAATAGGATTGGCTTTTCTTCTTTGCCACCCCTCTTATTAAAAAAAAAAAAAAGGAGAGGATAAATCAGAGAATTTGGAAAACAAAGGTCCTCTACAACTCTAGGCCAGTTATCAGAACAGAATCATGGTTGCCAAGGAACCAGGGGCAGATATGTGTGGAGGGCTTTACTGAGGGTAGTGCCAAGCAACGCAAAGTATCATTATGCTGTCAAATGTTATTCAAGTTGTATCTGTTCTACCAGACACTTCTGTGTTCTGTGACCTTGGACAAAATACAGCCAGAGAGCTGTTTTGAGGGCAAATAAAACAGCACCTGTCAAAGTCTCTACCCACTGTCAGAGGTATTGTAAGGACAAAATGAATATTCCTTGTCCTCCCTTCTTGCTGTGGAGGACTGCTGCGGCTTTTAGGGTCTGCTTCTCACTCATTTGGATTTGCCTCATTTGAAATGACTGAATCTTCGCCCTGAGAGTTTGCAGCTGTGCTGTTTAAAATTTTGGAACCCTAAATAGGGGTGCCCGTGGCTCACGCCTATAATCCTAGTTACTCAGGAGGCAGAGATTAGGAGGATCGCAGTTTCAAAACCAGCCTGGGCAAATAGTTTGTGAGACCCTATCTTGAAAAAAATCCATCATGAAAAAGGGGCTGGTGGAGTGACGAAAGGTGTAGACCCCAGTACTGCCAAAAAAAAAAAAAAAAAAGGAATCCTAGCAGTTTGAAGTTTGTGTTTCTCAGAACATGAGGAAATAGAAGGGGCCTTTAAGTATTTGTGGCATGGAATTATGGAAGAGACACACTGGACTCATTTAGACTACCCTCCTGAACAACACAGAAGTACTTTCATAGCAGGTTTCCATCTCTCTGTCAAATCCTTGCCTTGGTCAGAAGAGCTCAATTTCTCACAAGAGAGCACCCCTTGCAGCTTTTGGGAACAATAACTGCCAACTGCTTGCTGCAGTCTGAACGTGTGCACCCCTCCAAAATTCATGTGTTGAAACCTAATCACTGAAGTATTAGGAGATGAGGGCCTATAAGAGGTGGTTAGGCTATGAGGGTGGGGCCCTTATAAATAGGATTAGTGCCCTTATAAAAGACTCTCCAGGGTGCTTGTTTACCTTCCTTCCACCATGTGAGAATGTAACAAGAAAAAGCCATGCTAGAGGTAGAGAGTGAGCCCTCACCAGACACCAAATCTGTTGATTTTGGACTTCACAGTCTCCAGAATGGTGAGCCCGAGATTTCAGTTACTTATAAATTTTCCAGTCTAGGTAATTTTGTTATAGCAGCCTGAACAGACTAAAATATTAGTTATTTGAGTACTTTTTAAGCTAACTAGAAAGAAAGGTTTTGCTAAGTAAAATGCTTTCATAAAACAAATTTTCCAAAATATTTCAAGAATTCAAATATATATTTAATGATCCCCTACTATGTATCAAGAGGCTGGAGATATAAAGATTAACAGATAAGAATAATTTCTATCTTCAGAAAGCTTACTTTCCTTTTTTTGGAAGTATGGGGGTTGAACTCAGGGCTTCACTCTTGCTAGGCAAGTGCTTTACCATTGGAGTCACACCCCCAGCCCTTTTTACTTTAGTTATTTTTCAGATAGGGTCTTACACTTTTTGATTAGGGCTAGCCTTGGGCCACAATCCTCCCTACACCTCCTAACTACCTGGGATTACAGGTGTGAACCACCATACCTGGCCCAGAAAAATGACTTTCTAGCAGAAAAGAGAGATACACTGACTATTGTGTATTAGGTGGGGAGTCACACCTAATTCAGCTTGAATAACAAATTCAGCTTTGAACAACAGATGGTTGGGTAGTTTCATCACATTCATTATTTTGGGATGACTGGTAGTGTTCATTTCAAAACACAAATATGCTTCTCAAACACAGCATGAGAACCTGCTTTTCTGGCAGGATGCTTACCCTTTTACATATGTGGTTGTATCAGAATACATGACTTGTTTTCATAGCTCCTTTGGTGTCAAGAAGATTTTCCTATATCTTTATACAATGGGTATCCTCATGCATCATTTTAAAGTTGGGTTGAGAAAAGAAGATCTCATATTGAAAGGCCAATTTAAAAAAAAAAAATCAGAGGAGCAGCTTCCTTGGGTCCTATGGGAAGCCAACAGAGAAGCTCGAATGAGTCCTGAATTAATGAATTGAGTGAATGAAAACCTGAAAGCTTGTTCTTTTGAGCAACAGCACCCATTTCTATTGCTCCTTAGATACTAGCTTCGCACCCCCACCCCCCAGACAACGGGAAAATGTAATAAATTTGGCATACATTCACAAGGGGAAGGGAGAACTAGATCATGTCACCCTTAATTTCCTAACTGAAGCCCATCCCCCCCCCCACCACTGCTGCTGAGCCATGCTTCGTTTACCTGCCACCAGGACAAAAAGCTAATTCTGCTTGTGCATCAACACTCAGGCTGTGGGTTGGCGCTCAGGTGAGTCTGTGGTGGTACTAGAGGTTAGGGGTCAATGTCAAGGCCATTTGCTTTTCCATGGCCAAGATGTTTGCACTTGTAAGATGAAAGAGCAAAAGTAACTTCACAGAAATCCATGTATGAGTTTTCTCCCTTGTTCATTAAGGCAAGAAATAAGTGAGGAGTCATTTGATAGAATTCAAGCAGGAGGACGACGGAAGAAGAGTTATAAATGAGAGTGGATGTACTGTTTTCATAAAAACGCTATTTCCCTATGGAAGAACCACTGCTCCTTGACATAGCTGGTTTGGTGCATTTAGTGCATCTATCTGACATGATTTACAGCAGATGCTAGATGTAATTATTAAGAAGTTATTGTGAGCTGGGTATCGTCATGGGTGCCTGAAGTCCCAGCTACTCAGGAGACTAAGGCAGGAAGATCATTTGGGTCCAGGAATTGGGGGCCAGCCTGAGCAATGTAGTGAGATCCCCCCAAAGGAAATTATTGCTAGGGATGATAATGCCTGACTATGTTTAGTAAATGTCCTTTATTGTTGTGAGCTATGTAGTGAAGTGACATGATACCTTGGATTTTCTCTAAAATACTCTGGCAAAAATAACAATAAATGGGTGAAGATAAGAAAATAAAACTGGCCAGTTTTGTTGAACTTGGTGATGAGTGTATGCAGATTCATTACATTAAGTAAGGAGTCATTACATGAAACGCTGTATTTTTATGCATGTTTTCAATATGTTCATGACAAAAAAAGTTAAATGGTTATTTAAAAAGCAAGTCTAAAAACTACACCATGACAACATTCTTCTATGTGGTTCCTGCATAGAAAGGAAGAAGGCGTCACACCTACCACTAAGTTTCTTTGATTCAAAAACATCAGCTGGGGTGAATTCAACTACAATATATTGTAAGAACTTTTGTAAATGTCACAATGTAATCCCAGTACAATATTATGATAATAAAAAAGGAAAATAAATAAATAAAACATGGCTCTAAAACAAAGCCGACCAGCTGGAGGATCTACTGCTAATTTAATAATAGTTTTTCAGAAGAAAATAAACATGTAATATTAAATATGCAATGATTACAAACCATGACTCACTTTCAGAATTATTGCAAATGTATAAAATGTGCTTCAGAATTGAGATAATTTGGTAATTTTTCTTTGTCAGTTGTTCATAGTATTAAAGTGAAGCAAGTTTGGCCTAAAACTACCTTGAAACATATTTTAAGTTTGGCCTGAAGGTTTCTCTGTACATAGTGAATTGTAACCTAACAACATGCAAACAGGGTGTAACCTACTGTGTAACAAGTAGCTGAGTCTCAGCCAATCAAAAGCACTCAACTGTTCAAACCATGTTCAAATAAGTTGTAATCAATCTGCCTATGTACTTCCCTTTCTTTATCTGTAAGTCACTTCCTCTTCTCTATTCATAAATGTAACTGTCCATGCAGTGGGGCAAAGCATTCTGAACTATTTTTGGTCTAGATTGCAGCTCTATTCTAAATCACAGATAAAACCTGTTCAAAGCTGCAAAACTAGATTTGTTGTAATTTTCTCTTAACAATAGGAATTGTTGTTAAAAGGTCAAGTTTGAAAATAATGGCATACAAAAAACAGTTATGTTAACCTATTAAATTGGAATTTGTATTAATTACTTTAGTAGCTGAAGGTTTGCTTCCCTAAAATTTGAAAGAAAGTGAATGCTAAACAGGCTTAAAAATGCCAAAATCATGGGTTTGTACTGGCCTATACATTTGGCTTGTTTTAATATTGTATATTAATGAGAACAATAAATCTGAAAATGTTTAAATGGCCAATGCACATATAGACCTTGAAGGTAGTTGGAATTCTTTTCTTTTTCTTTTTGGTGGTACTAGAGTTTGAACTCAGGGTTTCATCCTTGCTAGGCAGGTGTTCTACCACTTCAGCCACTCTGCCAGCCCTTAGTGTGTGTGTGTGTGTGTGTGTGTGTGTGTGTGTGTTGGGTATTTTTGAGATTGAGTCTTGAGAACTATTTGCCTGGGCTAGCCTTGAACCACAATCATCCTGATTTCTGCCTTCTGAGTAGCTCACAAGGGTGAGCCACTAGTGCCCAGCTTAGAATTATTTTCAATCCCTTAAGAATCAATAGCGTTTTAAGATCATCTTTGGGAAGGGAACATGATAGAGAATGTACCACCTCCATGTTCAGCTTGGTGTTTTTCAGAGAAGAAGAAGAAGTCACAGATCTAGAGCTAGAAGGTGTGATACCTGCCCATTGCCTTTCTTTTCATTGTACAGTGCAGGAGCTTCTGGACTTTCAGCTGGAATTGCCTAGCTCTTCCACATGTTCTGGTTTGGGATGGGAAATAGCAAGAGAAGCTGGCAGGAAAGAAAAGCCAACAAATGCAAAATGACCATGACCCAAGTCATGGGGTTCAGACATGCATGGTGGCATTACTTACTGTCTTCCGGTAGGTTGTTTTCCCGCTCTTCTCGCTCCATCTGTTGACACCACCCTTCCATTCGGTCTCGTTCTGCTTGAAGAAGCTTCAGAAACCAGTGACCATCCCGGTGGCACACAGACCTTTGCACGGCCTCCAGTGGGTCTTCTGTGATAGAGTCAATCCAGGGGTCCGGAGGAGGCAGGATAGAGGGGTCAAAATCCGCGTCAAAGTCATCGTCGGCTGCGCAGGCGTGGTAATGGTTTCCTGAGCCCTGAATGCTGACTGTGGAGGTGCTGGCATCTCGGAGAACTGTCTGGCCATTGGGCCGGGACAAGAATTGTCCTCTATAGATTCCAGGGAATTTTCCAGATTATCATGGAAGTCCAGGTCAGCCTGTACCGCTGTTGTCACACTGTTGGATCGTGTGAACCTGCGGAAGCTTGGGAGAATAGAGAAAGGAGGTTTTTAGTTTTTAAGTATATTTCTTGTTCTTTCTCTTTTTCCTTCTTCCTTTTCTCTCTCTCTCTTTTGGGTTTTTTTTTTTTTTTGGCAGTCTTGTGGATACTAGGCAAGTGTTCTACCACTTGAGCAAAAACCAGAGCCCTTTTGTCTCTATTTGGCTTCTGAGATAGAGTCTGGCTAACTTTGCTCTAGCTGTCCTTGAACTCCCAATTCTCTGCTTCCACTTCCCTATAATCCTTCTAGCTGGAATTAAAGATGTGGACCACCATCACCCAGCCTCAAGAATATTTCTTTTCTTTCTTTCTTCTTTTGCAGTACTAGGGCTTGATTTGAGCCACTCCACCAACCTTTTTTTTTTTTTTTTGTGATAGGTGTTCTCAAAATAGGGTCTCCCAAACTATTTGCCTGGGCTGTTTTTGAAGTGCGATCTTCCTGACCTCTGCCTCCTGAGTAGCTAGGATTACAGGCATGAGCCACTGGCACCTGACCTCAAGGATATTTCTTAAAGTCATATTATATTCTACTCTTGTCAGTGAATGTGATAATGTGTGTGGGGGTGGGGGGTTTCATCTTCTCCGTGTATTTAGTGGAGAAGGGGTTTGGCAGACACTTGACGAAAGCATGTTAATTGCCATAGATCTAATGTAATGAACACAAAGCTGTCATTTTAGTTAAATATGGACTACTCAATCATATCTAGAACGATTTTACAAGCAGGGAAAAGTGTAGAGCTAAGAAGGTCAATACAACGTGAGTGTCCAACTTCTTCCCCAAGTCTAGGATGGCTTAAATCCTGAAATTCAGGTTGGTGGTAGGTGAGGAAACAATTCAATTACATCTTAGTCTGAATAATTTGCTTAGAAATGGGAGAAACCACAACCACTCCTGGACCAAGACCATCATAAATCCTGCATTTTTCCAGGGGCAGCTTTTTACCAAGTGGAACGTTCTGAAAGCAAACTAAAGTTGCATTAGGCCAGGCACTGGTGGCTCACGCCTGTAATCCTAGCTACTTGGGAGGCTGAGAATGTGGGGATAGAGACTTAAGGCCAGCCTCGTCAAATAGTCCACAAGACCCCATCTCCAAAATAATCAGAGTAAAATGGACTGGAGATTTGGCTCAAGCAGTAGAGTGCCTGCTTTGTAAGCTCAAAGCCCCGAGTTTAACCTCAGTCCCACAAAATAAAATAAAATAAAATAAAGATGTACTAGGTTCTCACTGAAATGAAATCTCTTTCCTAGAGATTCCAAGAATTTGCCATTTAGTCCTGTAAGTCCTCATTGTAGTTTGGTTTAAATCTTTTGAGGTAAAAATCAGCTTACAGTTCTAGAGTTGTCTATTAATCCCCTCCATGTGTCTTTAATTTCCTTTTCCACAATTTTTCTTCCAAAATAATAAGTGATTGACTATCAAAGGCAATCAAAACCCTAAAACTCTAGACCATCAAAATAAAAAAAGGCAAGAAGAATACAGGCAGGTAGTTGCAAGACTTAGGAAGACTGGAGACAGTATAATTATCCCAATAAATCTGTTTTTTTCTCTGAGAGAATTAATGCCAAGAAAAGGTGACTACAATATTGATCAGAATTAGTTATGAGGAAGGTCAAAATGATTACATGGCCATGCATTTTATGAACACAGACCAGCAAATGCCAGCCCATCTCACCATTTGCTATTTTCAAGAAATTGCATCTGTTGTCAGCATTAGACTTGGTCACTCCTACTTCTCCAGGGAAGAAGCATTTTGTTTTCTTGCAGTGCTGGGGATCCAACCCAGGGCCTTACACACGCCAGGCAAGCACTCTACTGTGGAGCTATATTCCCCACCCCACCCCTCACTTTTGTAAGTTCTTCAGGAATCAAGGGGGCCAAAGAAAATAAAAAATTAAAAGAAAAAACATTACACTGTGTGAAAGTCTAAAAACAATGGTAAAAGTCACTTGAATTAGCAAAGAAAGGAAGAACAATTTTGTTAAAATGCTTCTTCCAACAAACACTCGTTTCTTGGCGGCTGTAAGCAGTTTCTGCATTCTTCCCATTCATCCCCAAAATATGAAATGTCATCTCCTGAAGCTGCGCTTTCTCTCCAGCTGCATGTGTGTGACTTGGATGCCTCTCCTGCAACAGTTGACATTTTGGCTGTTCTACTAACACAAAATCCTAAGTACAAAAACATTAGGCTTCACTCCGAGACCATGTACTGCCAGAGGCGTTACATTTCCAGACTTACACGAAGCCTGGTCCCTGAGTGTTTTCCATTGGCGCACACTTGCCAACACAAAATCTGTTCCACACAGAAAACAGAATGGCCTACTTCCCCGTGACTCTGTTTTGATCTACACACAACTGTGCTACCAGCATTCCTCAGAGTTGTCTCCTGGCTGTGGCTCTTGTAATGTGTCCACCTTCTTAAGAAAAATTACTTGGCAATAGATTAATAGAAGTTTACAGTTTAGTCACCCAGAAAGAAATAAAAGTTAAGTAAAATTAAAATGGTTTGGGATTAAAAGCGGTGCCTTTGAACTCAGGCAGCTCTGTCCAAGCTGCTCCTTTCTATCAATTAAGTCCCCTAAGCAAGTGATTTCTTCCACCCCGAGCTTTCAAAGAATGTTCTGCTCCACAAAACTGTTTCATGTCATTCATGTGCAAAGTCCCTCTGGGAGGAAGGCTCAATCAAGTTGTTATTATTGTTTTAACATTTTGACAGGAACACAGAAGAGGGTTACTTAAGATTGATTTCTGTATTTTTAAAAAGAATTGATCAGTTCTTGGCCAAGGATTGTAAACCTAAAAGCTGAACCCAGTGGCTTGCTGTTTACAAACCCACAATTTTCAGTCTTGAAGCTTCTTTTTGGTCCCTCATGCCCTGCAGGCACAATGTGTAATGATTACAAGTTTGAAAACTGGCCGGCCAATATGCTGGCCTCAGGAGCAGAAAACCGTGCAAGGGAAGACTGGATCAACCAGTATGGAACACAATACCGTGTCTGTTCTAGCCAGTCCCAAGTCACTTAGTGTTCACTTCTGCTGTTGCCTTATGTTGTGAAAGAAGTTTACATTTCTTTTCTTGAGACAGGATCTCCAAATGTTGCTCAGGCTGGCCTGGAACTCACAATCTTCCTGCTGCAGCCTCCCAAGTGCTGGCATTACAGTTACGTTCAATGAGCCTAGTTTATTTCTGATTAGAGAATTTTCTTTCCCTCTGACTTTTCAGGACAGCAGATAACAGTGAACACAGGTGGTAAATGGAAGAGGCTGATTCTCATGCTGCTGACTTATGGGACTGTAGTTAAAATAACTGAACAAAAACTAAGCATAGTCTGTGTCTTTATAACTTTCTTTTCTTTCCTTTTTTTTTGCAGTGCTGGAGATTGAACCCAGGGCCTTGCCTCACACATGCTAAGCAAGCACTCTACCACTGAGCTACACCCAACCGGGCATCTTAATAATATTTGTGCTTTGCACTTGCAAGGAATCCAACTTGAGAGACTTAAGCCATAAATGTATATTATGTATGGAGACTAACTCAAACATTCCATGACAGAATCCCCTGGCCCCCGTGATCCTTTTTATCTCTCTCATTCACATAATGATTGCTTTTCAGGGCTAAATCTACTTTCAAAGGCAGCGAATGCTAGTCTCAGGCTCTTCTTTCTTTCTTTGCAGGAGCCTTTGGACATTTTTCACGAAGCCTCTGTCAAGGCTTCTGCGGGATCTGAAAATGCTGCTCCTGAATGGGACAGCCATCTTGGTTATTTTGTGAAATAGCAATCTTTAACTGATGAAAAACCAAGATGGCTCATTGTATAAAATAAAACATCAAAAGATAGGGATGAAGAGATTGAAATCAAGAATGAACATTCCCCCTAAAAGTTTACTCTTTCTTGTCAGACCAGTTTCTAAATTAGAGCAGGGCACGGAGGAACATAGGTGTAATGCAGTCCTTGCTCAAAATCCAGCTAGAGAGAACTCTCCTATTCCCCACTTGCTGTCCTATCTTTTTATTGTTGTTGTGTTTTGTTTTATTTTGAGACAGGAGTCTCTATGTAGCCCTGGCTATCCTCGAACTCAAAACCCTCCTGCCCTCCTGAGTGCTAGGATTACAGATGTGCACCCTCACATGCCGCAATACTGTTCTATCTTGACCTTAAAATTGTCTCACAAGAAGAATCCATTGTGAGCTGGGGGTGTGGCTCAATGGTTGAGCACTTGCCTAGCATGTGCAAGGCCCTGGGTTTGATTCCTAGAACTCCAAGTATCCATTGTTTATTTTAAATCTTCCATGTTCATTTTTGCCTAAAGATCTCTTTAAGGAGTGGCCCGGGTGGCAGAGTGCATGCTTAGCAAGCAGGAGGCCCTTAGTTTAAATCCCGTACTGTCAAAAAAAGTAAAAAAAGAATAGGTTTTGGGTTGACAAAGTGACTCAAGTGGTAGAGCATCTGCCTAGCAAGTGTGAGGCCCTGAGTTCAAACTCCATTGCTGCTAAAAAAAAAAAAAAAGGTTTCCTATATGAAGATTCTCTCCGTTCCAAGTAAGGGCAGTGTATTTGTGAAATAAAAGAAAGGGGAAGGATGGAAAATAATGATGATGGGTTTGTCTGGTAGCTTCTTCGCCCATCTCCTTTTAGAGTTGGGTAGGTACTCATAACTCTGATGGGCTGTCACTAGAGGAACCTGGGTTCCAAGTTTCAATTCAAGCATCCTTGAATTGAAAGTCTCTGAGAAGGAATTGCTTTGCCTTAGCAACTCCTTGGCTACTGACCAGAGGTAACTAACATAGTGATCAGAGGTCTCACGAACAATTCCTTTTCTTTTTCTGTGGTACTGGGGCTCAAACTCAGGGCCTTCACCTTGAGCCACTCTACCAGCCTTTTTTTGTGACAGGTTTTTCAAGATAGGGTCTCGAGAACTATTGCCCAGGCTGCCTTCAAACCACAATCTTCCTGATCTTGGCCTCCTGAGTAGGTAGGATTACAG